TATTATCAGTGGAACATCCCAAATACACAACCATGCGAGAAAACCCATCGATACAACCGTGAATAACAAATCTCCACCTAAATGAACATAATATGAACCGATTTAGTATACCCCCTCAAGCCGGCGAAAATCGATCAAGGACGTATACCTCAAATTGACAGAAGACCTTTCAAACCAGGATGTGACCAGTCAAATCCATTCCTCTCTGGCAAAAGTGGGGCACTTGCCATTTGGCTCTTCCTGAGGCAGGGAATTTGAAAGCTACGTAGTATCTTACCATTGGATTATGCAGTTGTTTTGCCTTGTACCATTTATGTTTTGTAATAACATCTTCTTTCAAAAGTTGAATAAGCTACTGTACTTTGGTTTGGGGAATCTACCACTGAATTATGACCTACTACAGGGTATGGTCACTTGATCCCTACCCTGCAGCGTTAGCACTATATTTGCCATTCCTCAGGGATTGACCAGGGGAAAGACCAGTCCATTTAGATGAGATATATAAAAATGTCTCTAAAATCCAGGAAATCTAGTCATGGAGTCTCAAAAATACAAACTTTTTCTGGGGAGGACCCCTCCAACATCCCTCACTAACAATTTCTCAACTATCCATCATTTTCTTTGGGGTTCATTTCTTATACCACTCCTGACTAATGGTAAAAATAACCCTTTCAAGACCTTGGCAGGGGAGAAAGTAACCCCTCTGGTAACTATATACACCCCTGCACTGTAGGCACATACCTTATTAGCTTATGGTTACCATCAATGTGCCATAGAGCTAAAGGTGACGGGACTGAATATGCTCTGCGATGTATGATGTTCATTTCCAATGCACGAATAAGAGTCCCCTGTGGATCCACCCTTCGCATTGACTCTCGAATTTTTTTTTGCTGGATTCTCATTCCTCGAGATCGCAAATGACCAGTCATTCGTTTATAGCCAATGTTTGGAAAACTAGTCAAAATTTCCAACGTCGTTGTATCTAACTGCTCGTCTGATATAATTGTATAAGTCCCTCTAACTGATAAACCAAACTCCGCCATGCGACGCTCTATGGTACGCACACTAATACCCAGTAACCTCGACATTTGTACGGTAGTAAAACGTCTTTCGAGGAGAAATTCAAGTTGTTCGTGGGATATGTTGAACTTTGGTCGGCCAGGAGACCCAGAGAACAAACGCCCAGCAGCTGCATCGTGTTGTGTTTCGCACGAATTGGTTATGATAGATAGTGCTTCTGAGAGGAGATCGACAACAGCCCGTTGAATAATATTGCTGTGATGATATCTTATCACTATACCCAATAGCCACTCCAACCTAAACTGAGCATTTTCAAGACTACTGCTTTCACCACTACGTTGCTCTAGTTGGTGAAGTATACTTAAAACACAGCGTCTCAGAAGATTTCTTACCTCGATTGTGAAGTCTTCCTCCATGTTTTTATGTATATACGAGCCTGCGATCAGATCCAGGATCCTGTACGTCATGTAAAATTGCCGTGAAACAGCCGAATATAAAACAGCCGAATACGAAACAGCCGAATACAAAACAGCCGAATACAAAACAGCCGAATACGAAACAGCCGAATACAAAACAGCCGAATACGAAACAGCCGAATACAAAACAGCCGAATACAAAACAGCCGAATACAAAACAGCCGAATACAAAACAGCCGAATACAAAACAGCCGAATACAAAACAGCCGAATACAAAACAGCCGAATACAAAACAGCCGAATACAAAACAGCCGAATACAAAACAGCCGAATACAAAACAGCCGAATACAAAACAGCCGAATACAAAACAGCCGAATACAAAACAGCCGAATACAAAACAGCCGAATACAAAACAGCCGAATACATAACCGCCGAATACGAAACAGCCATCAAGCCGAATACGAAACAGCCGAATATACAAAACAGCCGAATACGAAACAGCCGAATATACAAAACAGCCGAATACGAAACAGCCGCATATGTATGTATAATTGGGTCAAATTGAATGTCAAAATGGCATAATGAATTTTGGCGGTAATCACCCTTCATACATCCCACCTTGTAGCCGGGCGAAAATTGAAGCCTGATCGTAGTCGCATTTTACGCGAGGCGGCCATATTGGTCGTTCCCACGGAGCGTGATAATTTGTATATTTTGTATTGCGGAAATGGACAAAGTTGACCATAAATCCTCTTTTATGCAGTCAATTTTGGGTTTTTAAGTGTGGAACTTGTTGTCAATGATGCCAGATCGTTGGAGCTTCATATTGTGAATAACGGGTAGGCAAAAGCGGCCATATGACAACTATGGAGAAACCATTGCGATTTTTCAATATTTTGCTGTTAAATATATCATGTTGTGTGTGGAATTAAGATTTTGATGCATATTCATATATAAATATAGTTCCACCAATTCCAAATAAGACATTTTGAGCTAGTATCGCCATTGCTTCATGGCAAAATTGTAAATGTATTTGTGAAAGACAGCAACATTGAAAAACATTTTAGTCACAGTTTATCAATTATGGAAAAATAGTCAATATAAAACATGGAATGAACCAAAATCTTTATATTCGCAGGCAATATAATAACGTAATTGCTATTGTTTTATGTAAATATAGTTGATAATCCAATGGTATGAATATGCTTCAAACTATCTTTAATTGATGTTAAGAAATATTTCTTTCTATTTAGTCCTGTGAGTACAAGACCTTTTGCTTTTAATTCAAGCAATCAAACTGCCAAATTGCTGTAATAGGTTACTGTTTTAATACAGTAATTTGTATTTTAGAACTGCTTTAATATGGGAAAACCTGTTTTGTAATGACACACATTATTTCTAGCATTATTGTATAAGATCAGTGAAATAAACTGCTTGATGCACAGTAAATTTTATAATCTTAAATATAGTTACATTCATTACTGTATGAATAATTCTATTATAATAAAATACTACTTTTGACTTTGTGTAATAGTGCTTTCCAATTCTTTGACTCATATCAAATGCACAATATTAAACTTTTCTTAAAAAATAAACGAAATTTGCAAGTACTCTCAGGAATTAAAAACATGATAAACTCTCAATTTTAGCCTTTTGAGTTTAGTGGTTACTGTAAATATAATTAAAAAAACATGTTCAATTTAAAAAACATTTTTGGAGACTTGTGGCAAAGAGTTTTTACCATTTTGGCACCAATTGTAATTAAGTTGAATTAAACTCAGCAAATTTCACAGCAATGGGAAAAGTTAGAGGTCCTCAGTGTTGTGCTTTCGAATGTTCCAAACGTAAAAAAGTCAGTCCTAAGTTTTCATAAAGTATAAGAAGTGATAGTGAAGGGTCAAGTGATGTAGAATCAAAACTCAAAAGAAAACTTCCCAGGCATTTCATCAGTAAGCAATTTATTTTTACAAGTATACTATTTTATAGATTGAAACTAGACTTGCATTACATGATAAACATCCTTTACAGATTTCCTAAGGATAAAGTTCCAGCTTCTTAGTCTGATAAACAGCCCTTATAGATTTCCTAAGGATAAAGTTCTGGCTTCTTCATTGTCCATACCCAGTCTTTTTACTGAGCTAGATCATCATCTTTTTGACTCACCAGTTGGTGAAAATCATGTTGTTCAGTTGATCAAGAACATCAAGAGTTACTGCAAAGTTAAATTTTATCATCTTGGAAAGAAGACCACTGAGAATTCATCTGGATAAAAAATTAGAAAGAAATTAAACAAACTTGTACTTTTTAACCACCAGTGATTTATACACGGAATGTATCAGAGGAAGTTAATTATTACTAAAAATTTATTTAGAGTGAAAACCACCCAAGATGAAAGTGCTGACTCTGTCTCGAACATTTTGCTAAATATTTACTATGAAACTGTCCAGGAAATTAAACAAACTTGTACTTTTTAACCACCAGTGATTTATACACGGAATGTATCAGAGGAAGTTAATTATTACTAAAAATTTATTTAGAGTGAAAACCACCCAAGATGAAAGTGCAGACTCTGTCTCGAACATTTTGCTAAATATTTACAAAGTGCAGACTTTGTCTCAAACATTTTATTAAATATTTACAGTGAACAATGCCCAAGTGCAGACTCTGTCACAAACATTTTACTAAAAATTTACAGTCAACAATGCCCAAGCTGATAGTGCAGACTCTGTCTCCAACATTTTATTAAAGATTTACAGTGAACAATGCCCAAGTGCAGACTCTGTCTTAAACATTTTACTAAAGATTTACAGTGAACAATGCCCAAGTGCAGACCTTGCCGAAGCTGAAAGTTCAAAGTGAAGACTCGGTCTTAAACATTTTACAGTATAAACTGCCTTCGCTGATTATTTAAACGTTACTTACCAATTTTCTATTTCCATAAAGTGGTGCCAGAAACTGTAAGAAGATGTATATTATACGATATTTCACCAGAGAATCATTCACAGTTTGAATATGCTCTTTACACTTGACAATATAAAGAATTCAGTAATTCGAAATTTTTAGCTTTAAAATGCGATTGAAAGACAACAACATCGCCAATTAATGTTTTTCTTGTAACCTTTTCCAAAAAAGATGCGATTTCAACGCGAACATATCTCAAAAAGGTATTTTTAATCCACAAATGCAGAAAAGTATAGTATTTTCTATAGCATTTCATTGATGAGTGCGAACGACCAATATGGCCGCCGCCTATTTTCATGGGGGTAACCGCTGAGATTTTTGGCTTCAGTTTTGTATTCTGAGATGCGCTATCTAGTGTATATGAGATATCTATGATATTTGTACATACAGAGCTGTCAATCTCATCTGACTTTGGCTATTAAGGGGCCGATTACAAGGAGCACTTTCAACCCCGAGGGTGAACTCAGCCCTGTTAACCGGGTTGAAATTACATTTCAACCCTGGAGTTAAAACGTTATACTACACGTTCTCGGCATCGATTCGCGGAAGTAAAAAGCCTTTATTTTGTTTTCTTGTAATAAATCGTCACTACCACGCATGCTCGAATAACTCATGACAATTTCAGCCCTGGATTGAAACGATTACATGACAAAATTTTCAACCCTGCTAGCTGAAGCAGGGTTGAAATTTCAACCCCAGGGTTGAACTCAGCCCTGGGTTGAAAATTTTGTCATGTAATCGCGCGTTTGATTTTGATAGAGTTTTGTACTACACACAGGGCTGAAATTTCAACCCGGTAAGAGAAGAGCCGGCCACGCTGGCTAACTGTATTACCAAATACACCCTTTCGATAATTACACATACTTTTTGGTCTTGGAACCTCGCTCTCATTGGTAAATTACACAAGGTGATTAGCGTAACTTATTGAAAGGTTGTATTTAATTTGCTAGTAGTAGAACATTTAGCTAGCCTGTGTAGCGTGTCTTATGAAACAAAACCATTGGGTAATGGCAATCCCCCGTATTTTCTTGATCGAGTCCTGACTCGAGTCCTGGCTCGAGTCCTGACTCGAGTCCTGGCTCGAGTCCTGGCTCGAATCCTGACTCGAGCAATAGTATATCTCATATTCAGACCAAAATATTGGCGTGAAAGTATTCAGACCAAAATTTTGGCGTGGGAAACCATTGGGTAATGGCAATCCCCCGTATTTTCTTGATCGAGTCCTGGCTCGAGTCCTGACTCGAGTCCTGGCTCGAGTCCTGGCTCGAATCCTGACTCGAGCAATAGTATATCTCATATTCAGACCAAAATATTGGCGTGAAAGTATTCAGACCAAAATTTTGGCGTGGGAATAAAACATTCAGACCAAAGTTTTAGCGTGAAAATAATCCGACCAAAATTATGACATGAATATATTTCAGACCAAAATATTGGCGTGAAAATATTCAGACCAAAATTTTGGCGTGAGAATATCCAGACCAAAAAATATGGCGTGAAAATATTCAGACCAAAATTTTGGCGTGAAAATATTCAGACTAAAATATGAAGTGAAAATATTCAGACGAAAATCATGGCGTGACAATATTCATACCAAATTGCACGGTGTCAAACTAATAATAATCAAAGCAAAACGTTGGTGTGAAATATTGAAACCAATCTTTTCGCGTGAATATATTCAAACCAAACTTTTGCAATAAAGATTAAAGACATTAAAAAACAGTTGGCATGAAGAAATTTAGAGATTGCCTTAATTTATTTGAATCAAACACAAGTTGAAAATCTGAATATTTTAATTTTGACTAATTAATATTGAAACAACATCTATAACAGGACTTGATACATGCAATATTAATTTGTTCACGTAATAAACTTATAGAGGCAGTTAAAGGACATTGGCAACCAAAATGTTTATTACTTATATCTATTAGGTATACTTATGGAATATTTAATTTCATATTTTTGCCGGTTTGTCGCGTTTAGTTGTTGAGAAAATTTAACAAAAAGTTCAACAGTTGTCCGCCATTTTGAAAATAAACGTGTATGCTAATTGACCATTTTCGTAATAGACTAAATTTTGATCTAAACAAGCCTAGACAAAAATTTCATCATAGCTTGAAAGAGCATCACAAAATTAGTAATATTCCAAAGTTTCGTTGCGAAATGTTGTAAAATGCGAATATGGCCTTGCGAAGTTCGCAATTTTCAGTCATTTTAGATTACAAACGGGAAATTGACAGCCTCAAAGGGTATTGGGCTGTCAATTTTCCGTTAGTATTCTAAAATGACTGAAAATTGCAAACTTCGCAAGGCTATATTATCCGCATTTTATAACATTTCGCAACGAAACTTTGGAATATTACTAATTTTGTGATGCTCTTTCAAGCTGCATGTGATGAAATTTTTGTATAGATCAAAATTTAGTCTATTACGCAAGTGGTCAATTTATGCCACAACATACATTATGTGACGTCATTAGATGGGTAAACACAATTTCATGACTATAAACAATACCGAGTATTATCACGCGTAGTGCACTTTGACATTCCTTGCCTTTCCCAGTCGCTCGATATGTTTTTATCTGATAATGTAGAATTGCGAAGAGTGTTTGCCAGTATAACGCTCAAAAACGACATATTTTTAGCTAACATAACACGCACGCAATATAATTCTCTCTTGTAGTTTTAGTGCTACCCATCTAATAACGTCACAAAGTTCGAGATAATTTTCCAAAAATATTTTCCAAGATGGCGGCGAAACACAAAGTTTGCATGCATTTTTCTCGTAGACTAAAATGTTCGAGAAGGAAATGATAATATTTTCATAGTTAGGTCGTCAAGTTGGATTGAAATAGCCAATAAAAATTTTTGTTGCCATTGTCCTTGAAGTCAAAATGTAAACAAACCACAAATCTGCCAAACGGAGCACACTATATATATTCATGATGTAGTTAGTTAATATTATTGCATTGCATGCAACAGCACATGATCCAGCCCCACTACATGCATCCAAGACATGTAGAGATTTGTCCGGAATAAACAATTCTAATAAAGAAGAATATAGTTTTACCGGCTTCTGACGTTCGTATACTTCGCCATTATCTTTCTCTTTCACCATTTGCTCACCATCAACACTGAAAAGATCATTCACCGTTAACATGCGGGACGTTTTGGACATTCTGGTGACCATGAACGGCACCACTGTCTTGGATATTGAAACACTTTCTACGGGAGGAAAAAGGTAGTATATATTAAAACCGGTCAAATCCACAGTGGGAGCACTGAAGATACACTCTACTGTTAGCTTAAATAACGATATTAGTAGTTAAACAAACCTTTGGCAGCACAACTTGGGTTATGGAAATATCCCATATCCCAATCAATCTTCAGTGCAGCAAGTGCGCACTTGGCGACATCCAGTTGTTGCAGTATGACATCATTTGGGGAGGAGGTTGGAAACAACACAAATCGGCATTCTGTAACACTTTTTCTAAAATTTATGCTTTTCATTGTGCGAATGAATTTTGTCACATCTTCCTCAGTCCAAGTCTAATAAATGCAGAAAAAAATTAATAGAAGCAAATCGCACTGTGCATTAATGTCCTTTGGTCAGAAAATTAGGACAAAAGGATGCAATAACCCAACAAACAAGAGAAAGACAATGGACAATTCAGCGAAGATATTGCGAGACATCCAATATCTACAACATGAAAACCTCTCAGTAAATCACGTACTGAATCATCAAACTAGCTTTTTATTACTCATTCAAGGTCCTTCACTTGCACATGGGTAGCAATCTTTAAATATTGGACAATTGAATTAACACTATAGCTATGGCTTGAAATCGGTGCTAACTTGTGGAAAATCATTTACCTTAGGTAGATCAAGGACAATTATCTCTGCACCCCCAAACTTCGACGCATCTAACAATGACAGATCTTTACGGCAATCCATTTTAATCACTTTACTTCGCAGGGAACAGCTTCGTCCATCCCTTCGCTTGCGACCGCTCTTTGAATATACGACTTTAGGCTGTCTTGTGCATGCTCTCGTAACACCGGTCCACGAAAAATATGAAGACATCCTTCTGTAGTAAAGTCAGGGAACATGAAACAATCAAAACGTTCATTCACAGTTGAAACTGAAAATCGTCAAATATCGGAACGATCATAGATGTTTTGACCTTATGAAGGTAACCTGCAACAATTTGGATTTCAAGAGGATTATCTATAAGAACTCTTAAAGTGTCGTATTTTGCGTTGGACTAACGTATGTATACACTTAATTGTTACGAGAGAACCTGAAAAAATACAACTTGGAATATTAGCGAAATTATTATGAACATGCCTACCTTCTCACTGCTTCTTCCCAAGATGAAGAACATGAGAGCTTAACAAAAACATTTTGTACAGCTCTCATTTCTTTTAATCTCGACACTTTTGATTCCAGTTCGGATATAAGGACAATGTATTCGCGTTGACGTCTCTGAGTAGTTTCAGTAGTTCCACACTCGTCACTTCACCTCGAAACATTTTCAAATTTGATGGTTGAAAATCGATTTTTTGTACGACGGCAGAATGTCTTTGTTTTAGAACTTTTGTGGAGACCCTTTGTCCCGTTAATTCGGCCTTCCCAAACTGGGCAATCCGGGCTGCAAATTACTGTCGGACATCGGACAATGTCCGACTAAATTTGGCAAATGTCCGAGCAAAAGTGATTTTGATCGGACATTGGTCCGATCACACAAAAAAAATTGTCACATACATTTTTTTGCTGTGACAAAATCCGATTGCAAATTCACTTAATTTGTATTTTGCAATAAAATTTACGAGGCATTCTAGCATTTTACTTAACGTTGCGCCGGAATGGCTATACATACTTGTCTTGTGACTTATATCTATCTTGTGACGTATATATATATGTCCAACCAAATTTAGTGAATGTTGGTTTTTGTCCGACTAAATTCAAGTTATGTCCGACCAAAATTAAAAGTGATCGGACAAATGTCCTGTCAAGTCAAATATTTATTTGCAGCCCTGCAATCATCTCCTGGATCTCGTTCAGAAGTTCCTGTCCAAATTCACTGGATACGTAGAGGACATTTGATAATGTTGCTTCCAGAAATCATTGAATGGAGCTTACAATAACTTTTTTTTCCTTATTTGCACAAAAAAGGGCATACAGTACTGATTGAGACTGACCCACTGGAGTGACTAGCCTACCAGTGCCTTTTTTAACTATATATCTGGGGGAGGGGAATTGCCCCACCCCCCAGGGAAAGAATTTGCCCCCCCCCCCAGTAAAGCCATTTCTGCCCCCGAAGTGCGAAGCAGAATTGCTCATGATTGCTGTCAGAATTGCAGTTGATTTACTTGATAATGAGATTATGCCCTTCCATAGCCTCCTCCACAGCCATCTTGTGTGTAATTCATATTGTTCTTCACCGAGTATTTCATAATAGCGATAGATTTCATGCAAACAATCCGATAAAATGCTAACCTTTCCAAGCCTTTCGACTATTTCCTAGCACTCTCCTCCGCAGAGACGTTTTGTTTTGTTTTGTTTTGGGAGGATTAATTGAAAATTTTTTTTCTTAAAAATAACAAGTTACATTAAGAACCCCCCCCCCCCCATCGACACAAGAGCCATTCTCTTAAAAAGGCTAAATCCGCAGAGAAATTGGGGGGGGGGCGGGTGGGGGGGTGCATGTTACATGCTCTAAGCTGAAACTGATTAAGTACGTCTCGACTGAGAAAAAAAGACGATATACTGGAGGAACTTGATTTGTGAAATCTCGTTAAAGCAGTTGTAGATATGGTTCCAAGAAGAAAAGATTTAGTTTAATTTTTTAACTGTTAAATACATGTATGCATCATCATAGCATAAATATTTCTTCTCAGACATATTCTGTATCGTATGAAAAAGCAACGCAATTTTTAGAATGCGGAAATAGTGTCTCATAGAACCTAAAATGATTTAAATTCAACATTTCTGATCAAAATCACATTAGAATTCCCCCCCACCCCCAGCATCACAGAGAGGAAATAAGGTGACACTGACCCCTCCTCCTATTTTTCAAGGTGACTTTTTTAATTCCGAGTAGACTAATGTCTAGAAAAATTCATGATCTTTATAATCTTCGGAATTCTGCTAGATTTTACCCCAAAATGCATGAAATCGCAATTCAGGGACCCTTAATTTCAAAATTTTCCGGAGGCCGGACCTTCCTAAACGGTCTCAGCCCAGGGATGCCGGAACCACGGGTGCAGCGGGTGCAAGTGCACCTCTTGCCTTTCGCATTTTCAACTTTGTGGGTGCAGTGCGGGTGCAGACTACGGGTGTAACGGGTGCACACCCCTCCAAAAAAATTTTCAACCCCCCCAATATTCGGCATAATAAAAAATAATTAAATAATCCACTCCAACGTGTAGAGTGTTGATGATACAAAATAAACGTAGGAGTACACTCAAATAGAAAAAGACTCTGAAACTAATTGCTCCTCGCTTGCATTCACTGGTTTATTGGACAAATTGTAAAGTTTTGAAACTCTATTATCTCCCCTGAATAGAGTTTGCAGTGCCTTGTCATGCAAATAGCTTGCTTGCAAGGAATGTTTGGAAATTTTACGAACATTATTTTTAGTTTTTAATTCTTTTAGGAAATACAGTAGTCTTGCCTAGATTTAATCTTTACGTCCCAAATATTATTTACATCGGAGTTGCATCATAATTTGTACTCGGATTCAAACGACACAATGTCAATGATTTTATAAAAGTAAAAGCATATTGTGTATTGGCCTATTGGGTTTACACTTTTACAGGTTCATTTAACTTTAACTCTCTCAAGTCTCCACAGACAATACACCTTTCCCCTTATAACCAAAATTTTGATCTAGGCAAGTCTACACAAATATTTCATCACAGCTTGAAAGAGCATCACAAAATTAGTAACATTCCAAAGTTTCGTTGCGAAATGTTGTAAAATGACGAAAATAGAGCCTTGCGAAGTTTGCAATTTTCAGTCATTTTGCATTACAAACGGGAAACTGCAGCCCCAACACCCGAATCGGATGTCAATTTCCCGTGCGTAATACAAAATGACTGAAAAACGGCAAACTTCGCAAGGCTATATTATCCGCATTTTACAAGATTTTGCAACAAAACTTTGGAATATTACTAATTTTGTGATGCTTTTTCAAGCTGTGATGAAATTTTTGTCTAGATCGAAATTTTAGTTATAAGGGGAAAGGTCCATTGGACAGGTCAAATCCATTGATATGACAACTTCAAAAAAGGTTTTTTCGAAGCTAGAAATCATGATTTTTTTCAATTTTTTTCTGCTCTCTAGACTCCCACTCGCGGCTCTAGTGCTCCACCCCTAGAATATATAGACCTTGCTGGGGTTTGGTGACACTTTGTGTTGCTTCAGTCACCTGTTCGCGGCTCACCCCCCTAAAATTTCTGGCACCACCCCAGTAATAAATATGAAAATCCGTCTATGGCACAAACCTTTTACAACAGACAGAATTAAACGTCGTTCGAGGATGTGTGTGGGGGTGTTCCCCCCCCCCAGTCGTCAGGAACTCGGCAAAATTGTTATCCATTTGGCGAAAGGTGAAACCGGAAAGCATTACTTATGGAATTTTTGGCGAGAAATTACGGAGGAATTGTGCCTAAATAATTGTATTCGGTCCGAAAACATTTGGTGACGGGGAGGGAGGTTGACACGAATGTAGGATCATAACGCCCTTTCATTTTCATTGGTGCCTTTTACTAAGGAGTATGCCCTCTTGTTAACCAATTGCACCCCTTGCCCTCAGCAACTTCCGGCATCCCTGTCTCAGCCCCCCCCCCCGCAAAATTAAGGTTTGCCTACGCCACTGGTTATAGCTGTACGACTATAGCTACAAAGAGTTGAAGTTATTGTTTAAAGTAAAATATAGCTGAAGTTAATAAACTAAAGTTTTACAAAATCTCCCTTCAGACTCGCGAGTTCGCCAAACTTCGACGGCTCATATTTTTCGTTCCGCCTTTTTTTCCTGTTTTGCCCCCCCCCCAGTGAAAATTCCTTAAAAAAGGCACTGTAGTCTATTGCAAAAGGGAAAGATAAAGAGCACTTCCTGTAAAACGAGAAGTGGGTATGATGTTTTGTGATGTTACTCTGAGTGTATATCCATACTGGACAAGCTTGAAAAATATGTGAAAGTCTTTAACCCTAATGCCTAACCCCTGTAAAAAACTCGCTCAGTAGCGCCGTTTGCACCCCACTAGAAATATTTCCACCCCTCCTTTAAAAAAAATAAAAATCCGCCTTTGGCTACCAGTCTTTCCTTTACTAGTAAAGTCATAATGACAGAAATCAATAAAATAAGCTGTAATACAATTTCAACTGTTAATATTGCAGATTTGCACCGACAATCTGAGCAAGTGTAGGTAGACCCGATAACAGGAACTCTGCAGATGGGTAGAGATGCAAATATCTCAAAAATATAAGCAGAACGTCAACACATTGAGCGAAATACCTTTATTGGGAAGTTGGTAGGCGAAACGTTGAAGATCTGTTTATATTTTTAGGTACTAGTTGAATCTCTATTAATCTCTATTTTCATACTACAATGACTGCCATAGGTTTAATATATAAATCTAACAAAATACTATACAATACTTATACTTATTAACTCACATTTTCACCAATTATGGTACAACATGTCTTTCGCCAATCCACACATTTTTTCCCATTAAAGTGTTGTGATAATAGGTTCGCACAGAGTTCAATCTTTATTATCATGGTGGGTTATAGAAAGTAAGAAAGATAATTAAACAAAAAATTAGAATTGTTTATTGAAAAAAAAAACACTACAATATAAATAAATACCTTGTCACTCGTACTCATATCATGATGAATCGAGTCTACTCTGTTCTGAAGCTGTGCCAGTCGTAAGGCATCTCTTTCAGGCATTTGTGCAATAAAGCAGGGACTTGTATTTTAATATCTATTTTTACCACTATATCATGAACATTTCAGAGCATATTCTTCTTCATATCAGATATCAAATACCGGTATGATATTAATTAAATAAATGC